CTTTCCCTCAGCCCTCCTGTGGGAATAGTCACTGGCCAAATCCCAGCTGGCCCCACAAGTAGGGTGCCTGAGGGGCTCTGTGGCTGCTTGGGCAGCTCATGTCGCAGACAGCCATTCTCATATCCATCCATGGAGTGCAGGACCAGACAGGCATCTTGAGGGCTTCAGTGTCTCCAAGGAGCCAGAGAGATGGATCACAGCGATCTGACTTATAGTTTCCTAGAGCAGAAAGCTGGCTGCTGTCAGGAGGCCAGCAGACCATCTGTGCTGTTACTCTGGGCCTGTGTTAAAAGTTTGAAGAGGAATGTAAAAGTGCTACATGGTTGCCGTCTCCACAACGGCAGTGAGTTTTGCCCCAGATGACTGAACGTACTGAAAGGAAGCTAGAGTTAGAGCTTATTCTTGCTTGCTTTTGCAGCTACACCTCTGCACATGTAGTGTGCCAAAAGTACTGACTCCTCTCCAGCAGCCAAACAACTTGCATGTCTCATGGGACTTTATGACAATGATTTCAAAGCTGTTGAATGATTCATAAATTGCGTCTTCAAATTTTCTGGATGATTGTGTAGGGAGAAGGCTGAGGGAGGTCAGAGTGTCAGAGGCACCACTGCCGCTACAAGGATATGGCACAATGCCGTGTTTGTCTGCGTGCTTCATTGCAGTGTTTACAGGACCCCCTGAATCTGTAGTGGGTGTTATGTGTTAAGCTCATGCTAATAGCTGTAACCTGTAGAAAACAGAAGGCCTGCAAGTATTTCCCATGTTCTTTCCAGCTTTAAAGGCGGTATCTTTACGTGGAACAGCAAACATCATAAGCAAGAGCCCAGACTCGTGCATGAGAAATGGTCAATCTTGTGTGTAACGGTTGTGCATGACACTGATGTGCTAATGCAGTATTTGTACATACACAAAAGTGTGCAGATTCTGTGGTTGCAGTTCATGCAGCTGGGTTTTTGCTGCTTAAGTTGTTTTTAATTAACAGAAATAGGTGGAATTTTTTTCTTCATTGAGCAAACATTTGGGCTGCTTGCATATTCATGTGAGGTGAAGAAAACCTAAGCAATTTTCTTTGAAGAAAATTGCAGTTTTAAGAACCAATTTGTTTGAAAACAGGCTACATTTGATAGCTTTTGCATAATGTATTTCAAAATGCTTAGCACCCAGCATCAGCTCTCCACTTCACTGCTGGTCAGGTGAAGCCAACACAGAAGGTTTCCTTTGTGTAAGGGTTGGGGTTAGATGAGAGAAGACCTTTGTTCTTCTCTAGAGACACAAATGCAAACAACATCGCCAATATTAATTCCTTCTGTATAAAAAAGAAATCAATCACACTCCTGTTCTCACATGAGCCATGCCCTGGGCAGAGTAAAAGTTACCTTTTTATGCCAAGTTTGCATGCATTTTGTATAGGCTTTCCAGTAGCACCAGGAGGAAGCCTAGGGTTGATCCATCTAACTCTCCTGTAAGACAAGTACAGCACTGCTGAGGAACTGCAGCCACTGCCTGGGACTGACCTGCCTCTGCTGCCTGGCATGACTTTGCTGTTGAGTCCATTTCAGCCACATGTTAAATACTCACTGCTTGTGCAGCGGGGTTTGATGTTTGTTTCCTTTAGGTTTTTTGAGTTTGGACATTAACACAAAAGTAAGAGGCAGTTTCTTCTGCTTCTTTAGTCTTGGAGATCTGATGCCAGTGGGCTCTATTGAGCTTGATCTTGTGTTGGGTGACTTTACTATGACTGCATCAACTGGATGAGGATTAAATGCAGATAAAACACAGCGTAGGCTGTAACGTAAGGGAGCTTGTTTTATTCAAGAGTTGGTCTTTTTTGTATTAAAAAAGAAAGAAAAGTAATACGTGGACAGAGGAGGGATGCGTAGCAGGAGCTTTGCCTTTTAAATAGATATTCTTCCTGTTACTTGCATTTAATTTTAGATCACTAGGGATATTTTTAGACAGAGTTTAACCATCAAATTATAACAGATTCAGTGTAAACAACCAACTAAATACAGCCGCATGCAAAGTATGAAAAATATTTTTTTAAATCTCATGAAGTTACCCTGACTCAAAATAAATAGCAAATATTTAATATTTTATAACAACTAAAATAGCAAACCATGGCATAGAAACTCTACTCTTAGATTCATTATAAGGTTAGCAGAACATAATAAAATGTTTGGGTAAGCAAAGAATCTAGTCTTAAATATTCTGACAAAATAGAGCCTGGTATTCCTAACACATAGGTGATACTGAAACCTATTAAGCCAGGTTAACCCTGGCACAAGGATGCATAAATTTATCTAAGTCAACCAACTTGCACAAGCAGAGAATTGGACTTGGAGACACTGAATGGTACAGTTGGGACTGAGTTACAGCTGAAGAGTCTACTTTAGCAGGTTGGTTTGCGGTGCCTTGTCTCAGAGCCAACCTTCAGGCTGCCCATGCGTCCAGCGTGCTCCCTTGGCATGTGTGAGGGGGAATTGGCACTCTTGGCCAACCTGCCCTCCTTCCTTCAAACCATAGCTGGTGTCTGCGCAAGGTAGCAGCTACACAGTGGTGGTAAGCTGGGGCCAAGGAGCCTGGACAAGCATTTTAAAAAACATTTATCATTTGCAGTTGTGGGAGACTAACCTGACACACCTTCATATTTTTCTTCTTCTCTCTTATTTTTCATTCTAACCATACAGGATGCGTCAGTTTCCAGGGTAATTTATTGCTTCCAGTTAAACTTTTATAGCTGGACGTTTGTAGTATTAAAACTTTTGGCAGGATTAAATGCAAATGCCAGGTAAGTCTGTGTTTGGAAAGCTGTCCTAGCTCTAATCAGGTGACTGAGGATGTGTCATCTCACCCTCTCCCCTCCTTGTGACCCCAGTTTTCTTGTAACTAAGCACTGCACCCTATGTAAAGAACATTGTCCAGGAGCTAGTATAGTGCAGCAAGGGAAGCTTTTATCTTGGGACAGATGGTTTGACATTAATCACATCTCGCCTATTAATATCTTACATCAGAATGTGTCAGACGTGCCATTTTAAGACAGGGTCCGAAGCAGTCTCCTCCAGTCCGCTGCTGGTTCTACCAGTAAGCACATTTATGTTTATTAACTCCCCCTTCCTCTTTGACAGGATGACTTGCTGTCCTTGAAAGTTGCCAGCGTCCTCCACCACCTCAGCATCAAAAGAGCCATTCAGGTTTTGAGAATAAATAACTTTGAGCCCAACTGTCTGCGCAGGAGGCCATCTGATGAGGTACTGCTTTAAGGTGAAGCTGTGAAGAGGAATCATCTAGGGTTTTTTCCCTGGTGTTTCTGATTATTCTTGCTCTGCTCTCTCCTCTTGTCTCTTCTTTCCTATTTCATTTTGTTCCTTTTTCTCATATTCTTTCCGCCTCATGTTCTACCATCACTACCTGGAGCACCACTTTCTTTCCTCCTCTTACCATGGTCCCAGACTCACGTCCCTCTTGCCAAATCTCCCGCTTCTCTTCTTAGCCAACAGCTGGCTGTTTTGGCCTAGTCTCTGATGTGCTGTCTGGAACCTGAATCATCTTGAACTCAGTGCACTGTTGCAGTGAGTCTTGTTTAACTCTGGAAATTTGATGGCTGTGTCAAAATTTTCTATGTGAAAGGAGTTTTGGCCCTGTTACCAGACAAGAGACAGCCATCAGTTTGTTTTGGAAGCAGTGTATGCTGGATAGGGCAATGGATGATGAAGCAACCTGGACTCTTGGATTTAGATTCACAATGCCTATCTGCAATAAAAGCACAGAGGCTCGTGGAGCTAGCTAGATTTTCATTCTACTGGTAGAAATTGCAAGTAGTCCTAGTGTACAGCAAAATAATTAAATGACATGAAGCATAATACAGACACGCTCACTGTCCAGACCCATCTCCATGTTGGTATTGCTGCAAGATAGCAAGCCAAAAAGAGCTTTGTTTCTCAAGTGCAAATTGGGCTTGCGTTCGTTAAGGACAGGAGAGGTTTGTTTCAGAAAAGGCTGGGGCTAGGACAGCTGGGTCAGGAAGTCTCTCTCCTTAACTGCCCATTCCTCCTGTTCACAGAATAACGTCACACCTTCTGAGGTCACCCAGTGGACCAATCATCGCGTGATGGAGTGGTTACGCTCTGTTGATCTGGCAGAGTATGCACCTAACCTGCGAGGGAGCGGCGTGCATGGGGGACTAATGGTAAGGTTTTAGTCTGGTTTGTTCCATTTTATTAAAAAAAATATGGTTGAAGTCGCTAGAACAAAGTTCTGATGTTATCTGTGCTGCGTACACCGTATTTTCTTACTCTGCATAAGAAGTTGCTATCAAAATTGATTACCATAGAGTTTAAAGGACATTAATGTCTTGGGCAGAATTAGTGTGGGCAGCAATGGGTTTGATTATTTGTATTCCCATCAATATTTAATTTAGGTATGGCATTCTCCACCCCTAGTCCTACAGTGCTTTCCACTGCTGTCATGCTGTTAAACATCCACCAGCCTTCCTTCCTAGACCTGGATATGTTTTTATTTTGTGAGGAAGGCTTGTTAGTTTCATAAAATTTGTGATTCCAGTGTCAAACCAGGATTGTTTTCAATTGCTCTAGCATCAGATACTCCAGATAAGAGACTTACACTTGCAGAAGTTTGTTGTGGTGATTAAGAGGTATATCCCTCTTTTATGTCTGTTTATTTTCCATCATTCCTCTGGCTGCGTTTTCCAGAATTAAAGAGGGTGGTGGGTAAACATTTTGTGGCAGCTTCACACATGAGTTAAGAGTGGATTTATCTGTTCCTTTCTTCTTACATGCCACTTTGTTTCTATTTATAACTCAAGAAGGAAAGCCTGGAGGTAGCATTTTATGAATCATTTACCTAGTTAACTCTCATCTCTCCCCTTTGCCATATGTTTCCTCTAAAATACAAACAAAAACCCCAAAGCAGCCTTAGGAATGACCAAGATAAGTGTGCCTGTTGATGTCCTTGAGAGCTCATCAGACAGTACTGGCTTCAGCTGGGTTCTTTGTGATTTGATTAATAGGTTTTGGAGCCTCGTTTCAATGTAGAAACCATGGCACAGTTGCTGAACATCCCACCAAACAAGACCCTACTGAGACGGCACTTGGCAACTCATTTCAACCTCCTTATTGGGCAGGAGGCCCAGCAGCAGAAACGTGAAGCAATGGAGTCCCCAGACTATGTTCTCTTAACAGCAACTGCCAGAGTAAAGGTAGGTCACTTGTTCTGGGTCCGTGTGTGAGCTTCCAGACAGACATTTAGATCTCCAGAGTGCTGGTTTTATCTGTGTTTGGGGGACAGTTCAGTAAGGTTTGAGAAAAGGGACTGGCTGCTAATGAAAAAAGCATGAGAACAGGACTCAGCAGATCTGAGTTTGACACTTGTGCCTACCATGAAAACACCACAACTCAGCCTCTTGTATGCACAGACAAGAGGTGGCACTCTTGTGTGTTGTCCTTCTGTCTGTACTTAAGATGTTTGAGAGGGAGACTGTCTCTTACTGCTTGTATGTTCATAGTTTAATGCAGTGGGATTCTTATCTCATTTGGGATCCTTTAAATGGTGTTATCTCAACAATGGTAGACTAAGGGGACACGTCTTGTTCTTTCAGATGCAATTATTGTGAAATACAACTATTCAGAAGATCTTTGTTTAGGAGAGCAGTGGGGTTTTGAGCCTTCATCATTGAAATATGTGTGCAAGAGTATATTACAGAATGTATTTCAGAATCATAGTGGTTGGAAAAGACCTTTAAGATCATCAAGTCCAACCATGAACCTAACACTACCAATTCCACCTCTAAAACATGGCTCTAAGCACCTCATTTACCCTTCTTTTAAATACCACCAGGGAAGGTAACTCCACCACCTCCCTGGGCAGCCTGTTCCAATGCCTGACTACCCTTTTGGCCAACAAGTTTTTCCTAATATCCAATCTAAACCTCCCCTGGCACAACTTGAGGCCATTTCCTCGTGTTCTGTAGCTTGTTACCTGGGAGAAGAGACCAACCTCTACCTCTCTACAACCTCCTTTCAGGTTCAGTAAGAGATCTGTTAATTCTTTGCTGATTCTCTAACTTCTTGTCAATTTTCTTTTCACCTGTAAGCCAAAGAAACTTGCCTTCAGCAATTTTGGGAGCCTGAGGAAGAAGAAGCAAGATGATGTGGAAGAGTATGTGTGTCCTATGGAGTTGGGACGGGCATCTGGAAGTGGGTCAAAGAAGGGTTTTAAGCCTGGCCTGGATATCCGAGTGTATGACGATGATGATTTGGACAGGCTGGAGCAGGTGAACCAGTTCTAGCAGTTTGGAGTCCTTGACTGTGCTGTCAGGTTCTGTGGAAAACCTTTCTTCTCCCCAGGAAGCCTTCCTTTTTCTTTGGCCTGTGAAGGTCCCGATTCCTTGCAGTCACGCAGCATTACTAACAACAGTGTCTCTTGGCCCAAGGAGGTTCAAGCTGTGGACCCAGCACCTTTGGGACCTACTCTGGCTTAACTGTCCTCTCCCAACAGGGCATGCTCCTCCCTTGCTCTGACCATGTCGGGTGTAATCAAGCAGTTATGTTATGTGCTGCACTTATTTACCACTCTTTCAAGGCATGCAATGAATTTATTATTGATTCATCATTCAGTATCTTTTCTTTTTTTTGTAGATGGAAGATTCAGAAGGGACAGTGAGGCAAATAGGAGCGTTTTCTGAAGGCATCAACAACTTGACAGTAAGTGGAGTCTGTGGAATAAGATCTCTGTTTCTGTAAGATTGTGATAAACCCCTTGGCAGTCGCTAGTATTAAATAGTCTGAAATAATACAAATACACTAAGTACAACTTCTCTTTGCTATTACTGGCTCTGTCAAGCAGGTGAGTTTTTAGTTGTGGGGGCAGTTGCTTTGATTGATTTCAGTGCCTTAGGGGGACCGTGTCTTTGGATAGAGTGCAGTGCCACTGGTCTCTGAGGGATGAAGTCTATAAAACGCTGTGCAAATTATGGGTATAGTGAAGCCTCATCAGAACTAGGGGTAAGCTGGGGTCCTTTGAGTTTTGTACAGGGACAGAGAGGGAAAATAAAAATGAGTGGTTGAGGAAGATACCCGCCCATCGTGGCGGGGAGGTTCCCCTGGCCAGGAGTGGTGGCCTGTGGTCACTAGCTGTCCTCGATGACTCGCCACCCTGCAGGGAAGAAGGCAGAGGACACCACACCCCATTCTAGGCCAGTGGGTTGCCCTTGGGCAATGAGTTGCCAGCTGAAGGTCACGTGGTGTTTTCTGGGTGGCAGCCCAGTCCCAGCCTGCACTCCCCAAGCTGTTTGGGCCAGCAGACAGCAGTGAGCTGGTTTTTTGCCAGCGTGGGTGAAAAACATCCTCATCAGAACGAAGTGGTGGCTGATGGGGCTGCCAGGTGTTTGCTGCCAGGCACAGGACTGGACTGTCCCAGGTGTCTGATATCAGTTGTGAGGGCCTGAACCTTGACTCTTCCTTCTCTCCTTTCCTTTCTAGTATATGTTGAAAGAAGATGAAATGTTTAAAGACTTTGCAACTCGCTCTCCTAGCACCAGTATAACAGATGAGGACTCCAACGTGTGACAGTAACCCCCAGGCACTGACAAAGGCTCAGCTTCCTGTGTGCAGGAAACCTCATCATTGTACATGACAGGCAGCAGATCGTGTACATCACATTGCTCTTGCTTCTGTTTGTTGGAAGTAACTTTGAGGGGTGGAGATTTTTTTTTTAAAGGAGGGAAAAAAAAGGTGCCTACTCTAAAGTTGCCATAAGAAACACCCAGACACCGGTGAATGGTAATGGTTTTTACTATATTTAATGTACAAACTGGTGATATGTTTGAGTGTTGCGTTGAAATTTCCATGTTCTGATAGTGCTCCTTTTGCTTATTCACAACCTCAGATAATCCTTTATACTCTTTCAAAATAACACAAGATGTTGGGTAGAAGTATTGCGTCTGTAGATACCGTGCACCAGCTTTCTCCAAGCTCTCGGTTGAAAAAAGATGTTACTGCTCTTTTTCAAGTGTATTTGTTCAGCACAAATACCAGTTCCACCCTTCCAGCTGTATCCAGTGTAGGATTTTAGTCATCCATGCCCTGCATAAACTTCCTCGTAGCTCTTGACTGTTGCTCTTATTTTTATACTGTTTTATAAAAAAAAAAGAAAAAGAAAAGAAAAGAAAAAAAGAAGTATATGAAGTACATATAAAAGCAAAAATTTAAATTTTGTGGGATAGAGTGATGGAAAGTTTGAGGTGTAGGGGAAGGGGAGAGGGTTGTAAAGAAAATTAATGCCAGTTTGCATACCAGCTGGTTACTGGAAAAGGCAGGCTGACCTTTGGAACTGTTTGCTTTTGTTGCTTTTTACGAAGTGCACAGTTTAATGATCTTCCATTTGGGATGAAGCTTGTTTCTTCTAGCAGGGACTTGTACAAAAACTGCACATTTTAAAACATCTTCTTTCTTGTTCCCAGCAGCAGTAGTTACAGCATTCAAACAAGGTTATGAACACTTCTGTGACTTAAAAAATTTCCTTAAAAGTTGAGAGTACTCCCTGCACATGGAAGGGATATTTCTGTGCTGTGACTAGTGTAAAGGTGGTGTAGTTGCAAAAAAATATAAAGTTATATAGAGTAATGTATAGGAAATATTTCATAATATTAAAGGTGGGACTTCTCCTCCAAAATTCAAACATCAAATATGTTGTTCATAATTTTACCTTCTTAAAGCATAGCTCCTCTGCTTTTGAAGAGCATCAGATTTTAAAAATCCTAACTAGCCAGTGGAAATCTTTTGTCAGACTTTCAGTATTGCGAGGTGTCCTAGCCAAAAGCGCACAAAAAAAATTACCTGTTTAGTACAGTGGTCATTCGTATGGTGTGGAACGTTGCATGTGTTTTAGCACAATGGCATGAAGCTGCTTTGCTTTGTAAAGGTAAAAAAAAGTACAGCTGGAATTGTTCCTTGCAGTGGTGTGCTGCTTTACCGACCGTTTGTCACTTGTTTCATCGCTCTCCTTGCGGGAAGCGAGGCCATTTCCGACACGTTGCTGGTGTGGTGCCAGGGATGTCAGATCTGCACTGACTTTGTGGGTATTTCTGAAACACTATTAACAAAGCCAGGAAAGGAAGAAAGGTCCTTCAGGGGCTTCCAGGGAGCTCCCAGCAGATGTTGGGGCAGATTGGAGACATATTTTAGCATTGTATTACTGTAATCTGGTAAGCTCTTACCAGCCTGATTCTTTGAAGGATGTGCCGTGTAGGCTGTTATTGAAGTATCAAGATGAAAGATTTGATGTGGACCAGTTGTGTTAAACATAATATCAAGTGCTGTCATTTTCTCTTTAGTAACTGGAGCCAGGCAAACAGTCCATAATGTATACATAAAATAGGTTGTGCTGCTTACCATTTGTTTACAGGCAGATCCCAACTGATGCTTTATTCAGTATTCCTGATTCCTGTCTGCAAATAATTTGCTCTCTGTTGTTTCTTCCTCTGCAGTCTTGAGGGTGTTTGAGCTATTTTATTCAGGCAGAAATCCCACATGGTGTAATGCCTGCCATCAGCTTCAGGGTGCAGATGCTGGAGATGTGAATTCAGGGCTTGTGTTCTGTGAATTCTCTGCAGTATGGTTATTATTTACATGTAAGTTGAGCTTAAGACCCTGCTGTCCCACATGCTGCAGAAGCACTGGGAGGTTGTGGTGCAGGCTTCTGAGCAAAAGTACTATGCCAGATTTGCTCTCTAGTGCCACAATATTCTATGCTGAAATGGGCACAGATACTCTGATTTCTCTTCACTCCAGTGCTATTAGCAAGCGCATCAACAACAGCAGACGATGGTTTACTGAAGTCCAGTGTAAGTCACATTCTGCTCCAAAAAACCCTTTCCTGTATTCACTGGTTGGAAGCCAGGTCATCCCCTCGAACCTGCCCATCATCTGAATCTTGGGGGGTGGAATATAAAGGCAAGTGATAAGTCAGGAAGTTTATGTGCACATGTGCACACATACTGTTGGGGTATTTTAATCTGTGCATGTTTGAAGAGGGCAACATAACTCCTGTGTATTGCCATGTAAAAATCCAATAAAGTCTGTGGAAAATGCCAGGTGTTTCTGGAAACTGGTTCCTTTCTAACATATCCTCTTTTTTCCCTTTTTATTTTCCTAGGAAGCTCGTTTTGTTCTATTTAAAAGACAAAGGAGGGAGAAGGGGCAAAATCACACATTTTTTGGTGGACTCATTAGTTCGTTGGTCGATAGTCTCTGCAGAAGGACTCAGCTAACAGCTAAGAAATCAACTACCTCAAGTCTTTTTACTTATTTCTAGGATCCAGATTTGAACCATCTTGGGTTGTTTGGTACGGTGTGATGAGAGCATGCTTCCCCGTTGCTCTGTGAGCTCCTCGGGGAGTCCTCGCAGGAACTCCTTCCTGCCAAAGGAAGGACCAGCTCTAGCCCTTCTTGCTGTAAAGGGCAACCATCCCTCTGGTCCCAGGTGTCACTCTCCCCTCCCCATGCCCTTGTAGCCCTCAGCAGTCAGAGGAGCTCCAGCTGCTTTGCCAACAAGAGTTGAGCTTTCCCCAAACTACATTTTGTTGCTGGGGTGCAGGTACAAACGGTGATCAGTGTTTTGCCCAGAATAGCCCAGATAATGGACCAGAAAATTTAGAACCCCTATCTTGTGATCTTCATTTCTGTGGTTTGGTTCATCAGCTCAACATTTCAGTGGGAACACTGAGGATAAACACTTGGAAACTGAGAGTATAATATCGTTTGTGTTGTCTGTTTACAGTGATGAAGAAAAGACAGATGTGTATCGATCAAGAGCCTATGCACCCAGCTTTTTTCTGTTCGCTTAAATTACATATGTGCTTAGGAATGGAGAAGTAATCCAGAATAACCTCTGGAATGAGTCTTCTGATTTCCATTCACTAGGTATTGTTGCATCCTTTCTTTCCCTGTAAGAGAGAAGTTGCACTTACCCAAGCTGCGGGCTTCTTTTACCTTGCACTGCTTTGTTGCTGTGGATGTTTAGTGCATCCTTTATGCTTCACCTTAGTATTTTGGCATTTTCATTTGCAGCAAGAGCTATTCCTACTATGACCCTCTTTATCCTCAGTTGGGAGGAAGAAGATAGATAGTGCTCTTTGAGGCAGCTAAGAAGCAAAACCTCCTCCATACATTCCAGCTTTCACTGCTAAGGAGACAGGGTTTTGTAAGGTGAGGAAGCTTGTTTATTTGTAGCAGCATTTGATAGTGGTGCACGGTGGTGCATTGACTGTTGGAGCTTCCCTGAGATAATCCAGTTACAGGCAGCAACAGCACAAGCTCTTCAGTTGAGCCAAAAGTCCAACCGAGTCGGTGTGCATCGCTGTGGCACGACTGATGCTGCTGATGGTAATGGCAGTAAATGCTGGGATACAGGCAACAGCCCATGAAAAAAGGCCACCACATCATTTCAAGCACTGTGTAAAAGTATTCAAGTTTGGATGCATACCCTTCTCTGGGTGGTTAAAAGAAGGTGGTTGTTCCACCTCCAGGAAACACCCACTAGTGCCAATAAAATGTCTTCTCTGTAATAGTCCTAGAAAGGAGAGCAAGAGAGATAAGATCAGACTGGAATGAGATCACATCAGCTACAGAAAAATGGCGCTGGAATTAACAAGAAGGAAAACAAGCACTGATTAATTCAGTAGGCATGAAAGTTACTGGGCCTGTCAGGCTGGGTGCTGCTCAGTCAGCTGCAGAAACACACCCAGGAGAAAAGCCCGTCTGCCCCGTGGGACGGCAGCCTGCTCACAGAGCTCTGTCACTGCCGTGACCTTCATCTGGAAGGCAGCAGGTAACCATGTGCATGCTTAATACGTCTGGCTGAGCCCAGCACCACAGAGCTGTCGCTGGAAAAGGAAGGGACTTCCCCGAGGCTGTAGGTCTGCCTGTGGAAACTACCTCCTGCACAGAACATGGGCCAGAAGGTCTCACACGAGGATAACCAAGAGAACAAGGCTGAAACTCTAGTCATCTGTGACATCTTCAGCCAAGGCGTGGTCCATGCGTCTCAAAGGCTGAAGGACTATCTTGGTTTTGTGGATCCTCAGAGCAAATTCCAGCCAGCCACAAACACATTGAGTGAGATCTTTCTGGTCAACTTCATCAGCTTCTGTGTGGAAAAGGGAGTGGAGGAGCATATCATGACCAGCAAAATGACCAAGCAGCAGTCCTCCCTGTTTGGGGTGGACTGGATCTGGACTCTGTCTGGAGCCGACAAGCAAATCAAACTTCAGATTGCCGTGCAGGCTCTACAGCTGGCTGAGCTCCTCGGCAGCAAAGGCGGCCTCGCCGAGGCGGGCGAGGACTGCTGCTGGGAAGCCGTGCTGGCAGATGAACGCTTCCAAAACAGGAGCAGGTTTGAGAAGCTGGCAGAGTTCTGCCGCCTGGTGGGACAGGACTGCCTGGGCTTGTTCGTAGTGTTCGGTGTGCCAGGGAAGCCCAAGGACATCCGAGGAGTCATGGTAGACAGCCTTGCCAAGGAGGAGCAAAAATGCCACCTGTCAGGCAGGAACGCACTACGGCAATTTGTCACCAGTACTGACAGCTTCCTGCCCACAAGAGACATGTTGGAAACCTGCCTGGGCGCAAAAAACGGGCCGAAGGAGGTGGGCAGTGTGTACATCAGCTTTCTGTAAACCGCAGGTGAGCAGCAGTGGCTCTGCTCGCCGGCACGAGGCTGTGTGGGGCTCAGCTCTGCCTCTCTTGCTTTTCTTCTTGCACGGCGTTCCCTCCACCCCCTTATTTCCCACCTTCCCCCCACCCCTTGCAGTCCCTTAGCTCCTGCAGGAGCCGGGCTGAGTCATTCTCTCCAGGTTTTAAACCAGCAGGATGTACCTGCCAGAAAAATGTGTTTACAGAAGGCACGTCATTTTTCCAGAACGTTTTGTTCAGCAGACATTGTCTTGGCTGGAGCCAAAGAAAGCTTTATTGCCCCGAGCCTCCGGGAGGTCGGGGTAGATTTGACTCACAGCCTTCAGTTACTGTGTGGCAGATGATTTTCTGTAATAGGAGGTTGAGTCTGTAATAAATAAAATGTACTGATGCTGGTTAGATGCTTTGCCTTGAGCATGAAGGACAATTACCAGGCCTTAAAAAAAAACCCAAAAAAACCAAAACCACCTCATTTGGAGGAGTGAGGTGGTTCCCAACTAAGAGGAAAAGCCCTTCCCCGTGGTAGAAATGGGCTGAATGAGAAAGCTGTTACTTACCTACCCCTTAAAAACAGGTTGGTGCCAGGCTAGGGAGCTGAGCCGTTGTGTTGGGCCATGGTGTGGCAAAAGGCAGTGGCTGGTGTTAAAGAAAATTTGGGAAAAATCAGCAAGGGGGGCAAAAAAACCTGACTGGTGGGAGTTTCTGCTTTTTGTGGCAGCAGAGGCAGCTCCTGACCACTCATGGCAGAGAGCAGAAGTCTGGAGGAGGCAAAATTATTTCACTTTGAATTTGTTTTCAGTAGCTTAGCAACTAATTGCATTTATGGACTGCTTTATTCCATTTCCTTCTGCTTTTAGTGGACAAAGTGAGACTTCTGAGTTGCACAATTGTAATTGCTTGCTTTCAGCCACTGTTAACCAGTAAAGGAAGACTTCAGTTTCATCCTGGTAGATTCACTTTGTTTATAGCAATCTGAATAGTTTTGATCTACAAAACTACAGAAAAAAACCCTGTAGTTTTCTTATAATTTTATTCATTTTTAGTTAACAGAATAAAAATAATTTTTAACACTTACTCATATTTTACTATTTCAGTTCTAAGCCAGGGCAGCTGTGACAGCTGAGAACTAAAGGCTGTTATTTACCCAGCCATTAAAAAGGGCATAAAGAAGCTGCAGCATCAGTGCCAGAAGTGTTCGCAGCTTTCCATGGTGTAGATGAACTGAAATAAAAACCCCCACACAGAGAACTGGGATATTTCTGCTGTGTCACAAAAGGATGATTATGGAGCAGGGAGGTCTTTCCAGCAGTTCATTGCTATACAGTTGTTTTTAAAGAGCTGGTGTCGTATTTTTTGTGTGTGGCAGGGGTTGGTGGGACAGGGGATAGTTCTGGTGAGTTATATAGAAAACATGTATAGCTGTGGGGATCTGCAGAGAGTGGGGACTCTATGCCTGTTCAGGAGCATTGGTTGGATTTGTTTTTTTGTTGTTTTTTGGGGGTTGTTTTGCCTGTTTAAAGTAACAGCATAACCAATACTGCAGCAGGATTGATTGGTTTATAAAAGACCAGCAGAAAAGCTTCACTGTTGCATTAAATCGGTACCTTACTTACAACCAGTGTGTGGCTCTTATGGTATTAAGTTCTGTAGGAATGCTGCCTCTCTCTGAAAGAGGGTTGGGCTGTTTCCTCTGGCTGTTTCACATGCTTTTACAGTGTTGGAAAGGGAAAATCAAAATGTCTTGACTAAATAGAGTCTGAACTATGGAAGTTACTCTTTGGGGCATTTGCTGATTTGATTTGTGGCCTCCAAAGTGGCACTGGTGCCTCAGAGATGTCACGCAGGCCATGGCTCTGTACTACAGCTGATAATGGTGAAGATGCACAACAAAGTATTTAACAATGTAAATCTGACCACGTTCATTTACTCAGCCAAGCTGAAGTCTCAGCTCAGGTGACTCACAGCCATCCCACCAGCTGCACATGCTGAGCTACCAGGTAAAGGGCTGCCCTCATACAGTTAATCCCACAGTAATTTGTGTAATGACGTTAGTAAAAGCAAAATGAAGGTGTTGGGTTTGTTGTTTGTTTGTTTTTCCTGTGGACATCATTTGCTTATGTATAGTATTTTATACTCATATATATAAATGTATATAATAATTTTTATATATTTCTCTAAGGAAAAAAAAACCCCAACAATATGTAAAGCCAACTTTTATCACTGACTTGTTTAAACGCTGTAGTGTAGGACTGTCAGGCAACAGGGATGGACACGGTTTTGTTTCAGTAGATGTGGTGGTTTCACTCAGCTGGCAGCCAAACACAGCCACTTGCTCACTCTCCTCCCCCCACCCAGGGAATAGGGGAGAAAATCAGAAGGGTAAAAGTAAGGAGACTCATAGGCTGAGGTAAAAACAATTTACTAATTGAAATAAAATAAAAATAATAACAACAGTAATAACAGAATATGAAAAGGAGTGATGCACAGTGCAGTTGCTCACCACCCACCGACCAATGCCCAGCCTGTACCCAGCTAACAGTCCCGGAGCAGAGACAGTCCTGAAACTGGAACCACAAGCCCAGAAGCATGAGCCTGAGCGACACCCAAGAGAATCCCGCACTATCCAGTCAACCCTCATTAATATACTGAACATGAGATGATATGATATGGAATATCTCACTGGCATATTCAAATACCAATTTGGGGTTTTGCTAATTACTACACTTACCCCTCCCTCTCCTCCCCCCAAACAGTCCTTTGCACTTGCAGACTAGCAAAACATGAAGTCCTTGCACTTCCAGCAATGACTGAAAACATCGGTACCTTATCGACATTCTTCTCATAACAAATCCAATACTGAAACCAAAACACAGCACTATTCTAGCTACTAAGATAATTAAGTCTATTCTAGCAAAACCAGGACAGTAGATCATATAAAATCCCTCTTTTTATTTATTAAAAGATCCTCATGTTCACAAGGAAGATGTACAAAATAAAGATAAAAAGAGGCGATTGGAGTGATAGGGAGAAAAACAGAGACAGTTTACTCCTTGACTAGGCCTCCAAATAACGCAGTTAAACAAAAGAAAGAGATAAGCACTTAGGTAAACAAATCTAACAGGCTTGCTTCTGGTTTTTTGAAACTTCACTTTATAAAGTGTTTTACAATTATAGTCTGTCTCTTACAAGGCTGAAGATGATGTGGGCAGTAACAGACAGGTGCTTCACCTGCAAGATGCTTTTATTTCTTACACATATGTGAAAAAAAAGCCAGTAACTGAATAGAAATTACTTGATACATAACAGCTGGAGTTATTTTTTTTACAAGAAAACTTTGTTAAATATATTATTGGAAAAAAAAAGCATATCCCACAGTGATACAAACCAGCAGCAAGATCATTTCTCTCATATTTCTGCTTTTTGCCTCCTAAAATGGACTGAAACTTAGAGTATTATTTGAACTTTGGAGCACAGTATTAAAGAACAAGTTTCAGAAGCACACATCAAAAAGACTTCAGAGGCAAGCGTCTAATTAATAAAATTAAAAACAGTATTATCCATTTGAGGTTCCTTAAATTAACTGTAGTATCTTTTTCTCCTTTTAATTTATGCTGAAAATTAACCTTTTCAGTGCGCAGTCCCCATCTGCTGTACAGGCACAAAAGAAAACAAGGCAAGCTCTAACCTCAAATACCTACCCCAGTCTTTAAAAAAAGTACTACACACTGACACTTGCAGCTAACTAGCAACCACATTCCTTCATATATGACTAAACATCCTTTCGGTCAATCTGGTTTCATCTGCAGAACAAGATTTTTAGTTTCATAGAGTCCTTGGAGGACAGCTGTAACCTCAGCAGCACCGCTGTTGTTTAAAATCAGGAGGTTTGGCACACAAGATGCCTGAAGTTTACTAAAGACTAGGTAAAAGGCTGCTGTAAAAAAAGGTATATTTAAAAAAATAAGAGTTATAGTAAACAGCATCTAAGAAATGGTTTTAGATTTAGTGAGACATTGAATTTGCTGTCAGTTTGGTGACTTAAGGCTGTTCCCATGCACTCTTACCAAGCAAAATCCTTTGGAGCTTTGCCCGAGCGAGACACACAGGCGCGTCCCCCGAGTGTGCGCATACTGCACCCAAAGCTGGGCTACCTACCAAACCCCACCCCGAGCTCCCTGTGTTCCAGATCCATCTCTGGGAAACAAGAAACTACAACTAGGTCGAGTTTTCACACGGAATTTTTTCACTGCTTTTGTATTCCTACAGCACCACCTGCCATAGGAATTTTTTAGTAATTTTTTTTTCAGTATTCCACACACATACAAGCAAAAAAACTCCAGCTATTTATGGAACAGTGCACAAAGCTGCCTGCTTCCTGTAGTTTCTTGCATTGCCCAGAGATGAGAACTGTGACCAGCTGGAAAACTGTTTGCATTTAAGTGAGGCTATTCCAAATTACACAGGAAATCAATTTTGTATTGCTGTCTACCTCTCTGTTTTGTCTGAGAAGGCAGCTCGAACAACTTCAGTCATAAATGGTTAATTGTCATCCTTCAACTGAACACGCATCTTTAAGCTTCTGACATTGCAAAGATTATGCATACAAGGCAAACACTCCTGGCCCTCATACTGTAAAAGCTCTGCAAGGATTAAACATTGGCAAGGTGAATAATCCAGCACATTCTATATGTTTTCATACTTCATACCGATAGAATACTGGGTATGCACAGTGTTAGGAAGTAGGATATTAATGGCATCTGATGACAGTGCCAAGAAAAAGTGTAAATTACTGCTCTAAGCAGATATACTGTCCTCCCCTGAGATGGAATATACAATATAGCCGAGCACTCGGCATCACAATACAGTTGTTTCTGTGCAACATCCAGTACAGTTCTAGTATAGCTGAGCTTAAGTCTCTTCCTTGCCAGAGAGTCAGAAAAAAATGAAGCATTTTTAATGTATATGTAGCTTCCCAGCACTGTGC